GAGCTTGAGAAGGGGCTTCAAGGGAAGCTTGAGAAGGAGCGTTTTGAATTCTCGAAGGGGGCTTTAAGGGGTCTTCCAAGCCTTTGAAGGGGCTTCAAGGGGGGCTTCAGAAGGCCCCCCTTAAGCCCCCTGGAATTAATTCAATTTGAGAAGCCCCTTCTCAAGCCCCCCTTCGTAAAATTCAAAAGGATCATACTTGGCGAGGTTTGATCAAGCACTCCGCTGACACGAATTTGCCAGGACGAGCGACTGCCAGAGGTGTGCTACGCCACGCGAATGCGAGACTTGGCTGCCAAATATCTGGCAAGAAAATGCGTAGCTGCTCATTGGGCAGACAGTCTAGAGGAGGCGCCAGCTTCTTAGGACGATTTTAAGGCATCACGCTGCTGATTCAGCTTGGGGATATGGCGCACGTCAAGAATGATTGAGATTGCGCATAGCTGAAAGTAAGACTATGCGCTCCAAGAAGAACGCTAGCAGACGTAATGTCGTCCATATTGATGCCAGCTCAGCCTCTGCACTGTCAGAACTGAGCATGAGCGAATGGGAACTTGAGAGCACGGACAGATGAGGCCTAAAGTGGAAAAATGAATCTGCTAATCGCCACATCAAAAGTCACAGTGACCACTTCAAGCTTTCTGACACAACTTGCTGGAAAATGCTTCCACGGCAAAGTGCTGAGCGTTGTTACCTTACAACGATCAGAATCAAAGTTGAAAGAAACGTTTCTTCACGTTGCGTTGCAACCACGCGCGTTGAACCGGGTTTGAAACGTGCGTGGTCCCGTGTCCTTGTAATTACATGTTTCTGCATTGTGAGTGCAAGGCCATGGGAAGCTTCTAAAAAAAGTCTGGCAAGGCACATACCATGCAGAAGCTTCTTTCAAAGGTTTCGATCAAGAACAACAAGAAAGACGCTCTTACTGTTAGGCGCAGCGGGTGTTGCACGTGCTGCGTCTCTCCTTGGGAGTTGCCAGAGAAGGCACGGCTTTGCACAGTAGCTGGTTAGTTGGGAAATGGAAGAACATGTTTGCTGAGGAAGGGTCTTGAAGTTTTCGAAGGGGGAAGTGCAAGCTGGGGCTTCAAGGGCTGAAGAGGGGCTTCAAGGGCTTGAAAAGGTTTTGAAAAGCTTGAAGAAGAAGGCCTAAAAGGTAAGCTAGCTCCCCTTCAGCCCACCCTGAAGCTTCCCCTTAAGCCTTCCCTTAAACCCAAACCAAAGGGAGCTCAAGAGAAAATTAAAGAGAAAATCTCACGTCCTTTGATGTCGTAAAGCGACTGGAAAAAAAAGAGGGTCTTTCACTTAAACCACTCTTCGTAAAAAATTGTTATCTCTTACTTAGTTCCTTAAGTGAGAGAAGGGTGGTCCTTTTCGCTAAGGGGGAGGAGCTGAGATGGCTTGTGCTCGATAAGCTGTTGAGCCACGCGGATGGCTACTACAGTCCTCGGAGATTTGGAAAACCCCGCAAGCTAAATTCCTGGTCACCCTAAGTGGCCAGGCGTGGAAGCTAGCCTGCTAAAGGCAGAAGTTGGCTCTCGGAATAGATGGGATTTCGCCATTCCGATAAAAAGTGAGGTCCGTCTGTGAGCTAGCGAACTGAGCCTGGATTGATTATGATTTTTATTATCTTGATTGGGCCAGCTTAGCCAGCAATTTTGCCTGCCAAGACTTCTCTATTTCATAGAGAGGTGATTTGGAGTTGGTGGTGTGTCCACTGTCTGGAGGGTTTCCAAGCGTGGACCTCGCCTACCCTTGATGTTGCAGGCGTGAAGTACACCCTGGCTGTGTTCCTTCTTGGAACATCCTCAAGGAGTACCTGACAGTGCCCAACTTCGAACATCAGTAGGGGGGTTCGAGGCTTTCAGCAATGTTGATCATCATACGACTCAAAATCAACAGATGCATGTTGACGTGAGAATTCCGTTTCCAAAAAGGTGCAACAACCCGTAAGCTTCTTGTGGGCCCGCGACACAGATTTAGGGGAAAAACTCTGATCTTTTCAGTTTTCGATGGATCACGGCAGGACCCGTACTTTACGATCAAGTTTTAAGGATTCACGCAATGAACACAACCTTATGACACAGAACAGATGATTAGGGTCTTCTGCCTTGCGGTAAGACTGCTTGCACCTCGCACGGCGCCAGGGCTGGTGTTGCTGCAAGAGGCTTGAGCGTTCGGCGAACGAGGTCACCAACATGGGATTTGGGAGAGGACTAAATCCTAAGCGCTTACGCAGCCCACAACCCCATGGCGGGGCGGCATGACGGTTTGCAATGTGTTTCAAGCAATGCACTGCAGAAGGGCACCTTGTGCTTGACCTGGGCCTGACGGGCCTGGATTGGTATGAAGATCTGGGCTACCCGCATGGCGGATGCTTACATTAATTTTTACCTTGACTAACGAAGCCTAAAGGGGCCTTGGTGAAAGGTTCGTTTTCCACCAAGCCAGGATGCCTGATCTTGAGCCCTTTCCTTGACTTGGAAGAGGTTCATAGGTCCAGGGCTTGGTTCGCACGGGTGAATCAAGCACAAGGCAATACGCATCACGGACATCTGTTTTCGCGTGACATGGCAAGGCTGGTCAAAAGTCGGTGCGCACGAAGTTTAAATCTTCACAAGTGTAGCCCGAACCGAACCCTAAGCCTAAGGCGAAACGGGAAGCTCAAAGTCAACGCATGCTCTAAGAACTCCTTGCTTGCACGAATGATCGAAAATGCCTCTGCTAGGTTTGTCAGCTGGGTTTGCCGACGTTGGTGAATCAATTTATTACTTTCGGAATATTATATTTGGATGAATACTTGATGATATGCGCGGTCAGGATTGAACAGATAAAGATTCCAGATTTTGCGGATGTTGGCAAGGTTGACACTGTTCCATGTTTGTTTGACAAACATGTTTTGAGCGTACGTGTTTGAGATGTTTGGTCTGCCAGTTTGCAAGTTTTGCGCAGCATGCTTTGCAAAAACAATCCCCATGTGCATGTTGAGTGATTTGGCTTCGGTGTCTGTTAGCTAAATTCGCCATGTTGTTTTACTTGCGTTCTCAGATCCGCCTGTCGGCACCACACGGATGTTTGAGCATTTGTGGTTTAGATGTGTGGCCATGCGCAAGCACGCGAAAGTGTGGAGTTGGCACTTGTCATTCCATCGTTGTCAACCAAACAGCATTGGTTCGCATTTCTGTTGGCATAACCTACAATGTCACAATTTTGCAATTTGGTATGCTGACGTATTTTCAACAAGCATGTCAACCCGTTTGCTAAAATCAGATTGCGAATGCCAACCAGCTGGGTGAGAGCAACATTGAATGCCTGTCAGGCTTGTCAAGAAGCTTACGCAGCATTTGTTGTTGCGGCCACGTTGGGAACTGGGCGTCTAACTTATTTTGGAATGGGTGCTTGTCGCGCGCGAGCAATGGCTTCATAGTTCCATTGTTTGAGCATGTTTCCATCTTTCGCAGCAGTGGCCCGGTGCCATGCTCGCAACTTGGTATTACGTTGCAGGAATCGGTACTGTGATGAATACCGGTGGGGGCATTAAGCGTCACGACTATATGCCAACAAACAAAACGTAACGAAACAATTTGGACCGAATAGTGTGATCATGGTTAAACGTCGAGATGAAGTTTTGTTTTACATGGATAATGGTCTTTAGATTTCAAACTTCAAGGCCATTGTGAAGGAAAACTTACAGTGAACAAGGTGGTCAGTTTTACGCATCCAGCAGGGTTGGTGTATTGGGTTTGCTTAAGCTGTTTGTTGCATGTCCATGTTGCTCATCTTTTAGCATGTTGGCTCGTATGCAGAGGTGGTGACACGCGAGTATTGAGGAGCTTACAAGTGCTCAAACACCATAATGATCGGTAGAATTGGCACGTTGTAGACAAAGTAGTGGACTTGTTGCATGATTTGAACTCATGGGGTTTGGTAAGTATGCTTGTAAGGCCTTTCATGAATGCGGTTCTTTGTGACATGAAGCACACGTCATCTTCCAGATGTAACAGGCCAAATTCATGCCGTCCGGCAGCAACGGACACGGCATTCATTATCTGTATGGGAAAAGCTCTTGTGCATCGTCTAATTCATGATGCTGCAATTGTTGGAGTTCGCATTGTTGCAAAGGGAGGCAGACAACAGTACACTGTGTGATTCAGCACGCATCCGTTCTTTTGTTTCTCTGCGTGGGGCGACATGGCACCACCAAGCCGACGGATTTGGTATTGATGACGTCTGGCCAGCGACTCGCCCTCGCAGATGTGCTCGAGATGCGTTGTGATTACAGATCGACAACTTGCTTTTTCGGCTCACAGGCAGACTTGTAAAAGCTTTAGCAGCACATTTTACTAAATCGAAGCAGGCACAAGAACTCAGCGGTGGTTGTGACGTGTAATTTTGCGTTCGCTTCAGTATGTAGGTCCGCCCCAAACAATTGGGGGTGGACCTTCTTTCAGCGGGACCCCGAAACAATATGGGGGTTGGCTCAATCTGGTGGCTCTGGTACTACTCGTACTCATACTAGTACTAGCAGAAGCACCTGAGCTTTGGGAAGCTTAAGCTATTCCTCTTTGAAGCTATTCCTCTTTTAAATAAACACGGATTCTTCATGAAGCTCCATAATTCAAAAATTAGCAAATTTGCACTGCAAAACTTGCCATTGATGCCAGGTATCCTGAATGAGCCTGAAAACTTGAGCAGGTCCGACATTACAAGAGAAAAGATTTGACAAACAATGGTGGATAGAATTAAAATGTTGGGCGATGCTTTGCCACGCATGTTGAATTGCCGGAGCCCTGTTGCACGAATCGGCTTCTCACTGCTTTTTTTTTACCGGGCAGCAGACTACACGTCAGCAGGTTTGGACGTCCAAGCGCTTGGTTCTGCTTCAATGGTTTGTCGTGATTGGGCGGTCAGAGCCCATTAGCTTCACGGTTTGTACGAACTCATGTTGGCTAAACAAAAAATCCTATTCCTCAGGAGTTGTCCGAGACATGCTGGCGCCAGGCCCGGGGCAACTTGTGAAAGAAATGTTTCTCGTGTCTGTTGCCACAGGTGTTTGCTTGGCGATGGCTGGGATCCTTGTTCGAGCTCCGGCAGGTCGCAATCTTCGAGGGGCTTGTGTTGACCATCCATTGCATCTTATGACTTAAGCGCTTTTCTTCATTCACTACCATCACACCCATGTGGCTTCGTAGGTGCATTCATCTTGGAGAGTCTCCTGCAGCTCTCGTGCTCGTGCACGCCGTGCAGCCAAGAGCTTACAACAATGGCACGGACCGTATTCAATTTGCGCCAACGGGAGAGCTTCCTTGCGCAGGATCTTCGTGTTGTCTCTGGCATGTGGCACCTCATCGGCACCGTCAGAAGCTTGGACAATCTATCACAACCTCTTGCTGCAGACCATAGAAAACAGTTTTTGCAGCCGAACACTAGACTGAAGTTCGCGCAGGTGCGGGACAACAAGGGAGAAATGGCAACCGAAGCAGATTGCTGCTTTTCCAGCTGCGCAGCTCAGAATTTGGCACAGAGCGGAGATTGGACCATGACACTGTGCTTCACAGACAAGGTGGAAGTCTTGTCATGCAAGGGCAGGCCGTACATAGAAGACAGGCCTCGGACATGCCCGGAAGTTTATGTGAGCGCCATCGCATGTGTTTCTTTGAATTCCTCTTTTCAGGATGCGGGCGGCCATCGAATAATACTACATGGAGTTTGGCAGGTAGCTGACTGTGCTGCATGTAGGTATGTGGCTGCATTCTTGGGTTTTTTGGACAGGGCAACCTCTGTGCAGACATTGTGGCCCTTGGCGGCAAGCGAAAGTGGTGCCTAGCCTGGAAGGAGAAAATCTCGGAGGCATGGGTTTGCAGATCTTTGTTCTACAAGTAGCACTTCGTGATCCTGTCAGGTGCCGGGTGCTTATCACTACGCGGCGGACTTGTTCTTGTGCTGTTTGCGCAGTTTAGCGGGGTCGACCGAAACTAGTAAATTTGTAAATGTGCAAGGCTGGCCAGCTAGATGAACTTCCTGATGGGCGTGCTGTCTTGATCTCAGACCATGCCAGTGTTGGACTTCCTCTCACCCCACAAGCTTCCTATAGGTCCTTCGGGGCGACTTCCGGTGGCTTGGCCGGGTGCGCGGCACGTTCGACTACATCATGGAAAGACTGGAAACTGTGCACGGGAAAAAGAGTCAACAGACATAGTATCCGTGGATGAGTTCAGGACCGTTCCGCAACGGATAAGGTCAATTCGCAGTACGGATGCCGTTAGTTAGTATGATTTGATTCACAAGTTTCGAAATTATGTGGTTTAGCATGGCTTTGACCCCAAGCATGATTTCAGTTAAACATGTGGATGGACACTGTCGGGAAGTAGTTGGAGCCGTGAAATGGTCGTGCGGGATGCCATGACTGTTTAGACTGTTGTTGTCTTCGTCTGTAGAACTACGTTGGTGCAGGGTGAGATTGTTTCCGTGGTGTCAGCTCGTTTGCGACGGCGTCTTTGGCATCTTGCGCACAAAGATAACAAGGTTTCTGTTGCTGACTGGCAGCATTGTTGCTCAGGGGACCATTTCCTTACTCGTAGAAAAAGCCTGCTAACTTCAAATTCCTCCTGGAACAGACAAGGCCGCTCTTCCAGGTCAATGACGCAGCCAAGAGGACCGAGATGTGAGATGCTTCTGGCTGCATTGGCCAAGCACGTTTGCAGGACCACACGTGTTCACTTCGGACAGAAATCTTGCGATTGGAGTTGCTTGCCATAATTGCATGCTCAGAAGTGGCAATGGAGCTGTGTAGCAGCAGGATATTGTGAGGGTTTTCTGGTGAGAGTGTCGAGGCACCTACATGTGTCTTTTTCCATCATGTTCCCACTTTACAGATCTTTTTGTTGTTGTTTGGAACCTCGCGCTCATAGAAACGTGGAATCCCTTTGCTACACCTACGGTTGGTCTTTAAGCTCACTAACCTTGGCACACGTCTTGTCGCTTGCTGGTTGCAGAAAAGGGTTGCAATGTCACATCAGGCAGTCAGCATCCTTGCTGTCCTTGCGTGCATCAGCCTTGGCTGCTTTTATGTCCTGAAGATGATAAAGTATCATTTCAGCCTGAGGCTAGGCGGTGGGACTCCGCCAGACGCTAGACAATGGCGGGAGGTTTCAACTTGGTCTGGACCTTACATGTTCGGAAGGTGGCGTTAGGGAGATTGAAAAAGCTCCGAGCCTGCGTCCTTTGCAGCCAGATCAGCATTTTTCCCGATCCTTAGCTGGCTTTGGCATGTGCAGGTCAACACTCTTCTCTTCCCAGCTCCAGAGGCAAGCTACGACCTGAACACGTTCCCAGAGGAGGTTGCAAGACTGCTGTTGTTGCCATACGCTTGCACTTGTCGTCGTCATCTTGCACTTCATCATGTATCTACACTTAGCTTGGGCTAGAGGATCCCTACATTCATGTCGCTTCCCAGCCAAACTTAGCAGTGCTAGGAGCTCATCTGGCTGCCACGCAGTTTGGATCCGGAAGATCCTGATGTCGAGGCCTTTGACAGCGCTCACTGGAGATATTCATGGAACTTTCAAGGAAGTGCCCGGAGCAGGCCAATGTTCCGTGCTTGTTTCTCACATCGAACTCTGCCCGGTTCGTGATGCTCTACATGCACAGCAATGCAGAGGATGCAACAGAATTTGGTGTGAGCATCATGAAGAGGGCCTCCTGGCATGAAAGGATTTGGGACGCTGCTACAACTTTTGCAACATGCTGCGCATGCAGTTCCAGGCGCCTATCAATGCTCGCGGAATCATAGAAAGACTGCTGTGTGTGTTTGGATCAGATTTTCCTCCCTAGCTGAAGAATAAAAATGACATGGGGCCCTTTGAGCGTGGTGCCCGAGAGCGCAGAGTATAAGGGTGTTGAGGGGCAAGCCTCAAAAACATCATTCTCAACAGCATACACTGTCGAGACAGCTCGCATTCATGTAGCTTGGGTTGTTTCACAAACAGCTTGACTGCAGGGTGCTGCTGTTTTTTCAACGACACAGAGAGTGCCTTTAAACATCGCTTACGGCCCTTTGTTTCCTACAGGTGTTGATCTTAATGTAATTGCACCTCTTGCGATTCGTTTTGCCACCTTCTCTCGCGTAACCTTTTTCAATGCAGTATGCTTCAAAAAGGCTCACTGAGGACTTGCAGCGTCCACCTGCACAATAGGCAAAGCCAAGGGCGTGTTCAAAAGTTTCAGTGGTTCATGCTACCTATAGAGATTCGAAATATTGAAGTCACACCTGAAGGTGAATGTCTTGGCGGTTGAGTATCCTGGCTATGGGATTTGCCCCGGTGGACAGGCTTGCAATGCTCGCTTGTAGCTGTTTATGCAGTCTGTAGCTTGCTCGTCAGGCCGACGAGATGTCCGTCATTGCGAATGCCAAGTTGGCCTTTCGATTTATTACTGAGGCGGCGAGTGCGCATTGCGAGTCAAACCTCTGCACACATCTGCAAGCCTCGTCGTTCATCACGTGCTATGTGCGTTACAGTTGTTGATGCGAACGTTGCAGAAGAAGGCTGCCGAAACTTAAGACTTAAGACCCATGGCGATACGGGCTTCCACAGACACTTCTGAAAGTTTTACTTGCCAACTTGCCACCATAAGCCTGCTGGCCAGGATGGTTTGGGCACGGTGTCGCCTTGTTGGACTGCAGACCTAAGTTGGAATCCATAGCTTTGCTAGTCAGGGGAGTATTGCCAAACAGTGTTGATGATTGTTGGTGTGGACTTGACGCACTGTGACAAGACGTGGGTGTTGAAGAATACTGGATTGATGTGCAGGTGCTGCGCTATCCCTCTGAGGAGACGGCTTTACGACATCGACGGTGTGAGATTATTTTATGCAGTGTGCTTTACTGGCAGGACATCATTGTTTTGGGCCGATCGGTTGGTAGCGGGCGGCGGCCCGAGGGCCAACTTGCACTACACAAGGCTGGCAGTTGAACGCTCTTTCCTTGTGCTGGCAGACTAGTGACTCGGCATGGAAGAAGAACAACTGATGCAAGTGAATGTTCACGCACCTAGGCCAGCACTTCACGTTGCTGCAGAAGCCAAAACATATGGGGCCACAACCCTGCTCTTTTCTATGCACACTGCCACCAGCACCAGCAAGCACTCGAATCAGGTCATCTTGATCTGCCCTTTCCTTTCGGTAAGAGAAGTGGTTCGCTGCCACCTCGGTCGAGTTGCGTGCTGCTGGCACGTCTTCTTGATCTGAGAATGTCTGAGATCAGAGGCACAGAGACTGAGCGCAGTTAGGAGGTGTTTCGTCAGCATGGCAGGGACCTCATCGAAGAACGCTTTCCAAACAAGGTTGCCCATGATTTCTGTCTGAGTCGCACTTGCAAGTTTCACGTATTTGCTTCGCCAAGAGATGTCTTCAGCAAAGCTTCTTTGTGGCGAGGAGAGAATCAAAGATATATCTGGCTTTCTTCTTATTGTGCATGGAAAGAAGGCATGGTTTGCAGTAAGCTGTAGCCGCTAGGCCTTGGGGAAGTCTGGTGCAGGACACGGTTGTGCCGTGGACTCATGGACAAGAGCTCTTCGAGACTTGTACCCGGAGAAAGCGTCTGGTTGTGGCCTAAGATTCTGAGACGCAGCCTTTCACAGGGCCATTGTTCAACATGCGTTGGTGAAATGCACATGAGCCGATTTGGTTTCTCCACCGGGAGCCATTCATTCAAGATCGTTCCCGCTCCAAGTGTTGAGCCGTCAGGAAACTGACGGCCAAAGTAAGTACTGGAGTGGCACTTTGAACGCCTTTGCTTATGTCACATGGCACCACGCCATTTCATCTGTTGTTCTACACCCAAAGGACGTTGCTAGGGACACCACCAAAGGCTTGAGCTTCAGTTAGCATCTTTCCCGGTTAAAAAAAACTGCACGCTTGAGCAGCACAGTCCTTTTCCAAAGTCGTGAGAAGAGTTAGGCCTGGAAAAGTTGACTGCTTCAGGGCTTTCAGTTTCAAACACATTCCAATACGAATGTTCTTCACTTCGCCTTACTTTCAGATCGTCTTGTCCTGTGCGGAGCATGTGACCTCGACTTTTGACAAGATTTCCTGCTCGCAAATTCCATGATCAAGCTTCTGCTTGCAGATGCACGAGTAAGAACAGGTGAGTAGTGCTTTCTTTGGGGAAATGGATAGAAGAGGACCTTATGGACCCCAATATGGAGTAAGATTATATCTTCCTTTGGGGTATAGGTACTTTGCAGAAGAATATAGTCTTGCTGGGCCCAACCTCAAAACACGCACTAAACACGCTACTCAGCTAAGGGGCCTTGCATGATTGTTTCAGGTCACTCCCGAGGATATGACGCACAACGCAAGTTTGTTGACGGACCTGATCATCCCAGTGCCTTAGTCTTGCATGTGTGTTTCTCCACAGTTCCAGATATGAGAGCAATAATTTCTGGAGGACCCTGCCGTGTTCATCATGCCAGTTCTCCAGTTCTTTGGACTTCCGGATTACAGCTTTGAGCCTTTGAGGCAACGGTTGACAGTGCAGATTCACGTTTCAGTCACATTTGGGCTTTGTGACCTTGTCCAGAATTCCAAACTGGGTATTTGATGCGACGCTGACGCCCACAGCTTTGCGAACAGAGCGGAAGGCCAGGTGTAGTTTACGTTGTGGTGATTGGTGGCCAGTGCCTCGTCTGAGAGGCTGTAGCACCAAAAAGACACGGTGCAGCTTGCAATGGGCAAAGAGCTGGCCTCAATCAAACGGATAAGGCACAAGTCGGACTACTTGCATGCGTTGGGTCTGTAGCTTGCGGAGAAATTTGCTGAGGACCCGCTCCAAAGACGCAGTCGCGGGTCATGGCAGGCTGCAAGAGTTAGCGGGCAAGAAGCAACAGCTGGGAGAGCCTTCGCTTTTTTCTCAGGCTCCCCTCTGCAGGAGCTGTTGGGCAAACCGAGGCCCGTTTGCTTAAGGAGATTTCCAGCATCGCCATGTCCTCACATATCGCCGCCAGTGCAACACAGTGCAACGGTGACGGTGAGTGTCGCAGGGACGAGTCTGGGATGCCGCCTGGGCACAATGTGGGCAATGCCGCAGATGCTGCAGTCCAAATGTGCGCATCTCAGCTCCTTCAAGAATGCTGTCGCAATGTGGAGCGAGTCTGAGGTTCCTGGACTGGCAAGACTCGAGATCAAATCCCTCACTGCCCGGGGAGATGTGCAGCAGCAAGGCTACTCTCCAAGGCTTTTGAAGCGGTCCGATGCGGTTGAGCGGCTGATCAAACCCTGGTTCGTTTGGTGGTCGCGCCTAGTTCATAGTCTTGCGCCATTGGGTTCTGGCGTTCAGCGTGCAGGGATGTGCAGGGTTTGTGTCCTCGAGAATTAGCCATCCAGTTGCAATTCTTGCAGCTGCAACAGCTTTCAAGGTTGCAGCCTGTACTTATGTGTCGTCCCTCTCCTATTTTGTTGACGTCACACTAATCAGTGCTCAGTTCTCAGTCAAAATGATTGGTGCTTTGAATCTCGATCGTGCGAATGCGTACTGGAAACGGCAAGCATGGAGGAGCAGCACAGTTTCCATGCTTTTAGTTTGGCCTTCACAGTCGAAGACCTTACAAGTGCGTTCCCTTGGCGCTTGAGGTACTTGCGAGCTCGCAATCTGGCAGTGCTGCAAGTATCACCAGCCTCGGCGAACCTTCCACAGCTGTCCGGGCACAAAATCAAATTGTGGTAGTTGAGCCAAGCTCCAAGGTCGCAGAGTCGTCCTCTTCCCTGCATCCTCATGAGATGCTCAAATCCCACACGTGGGTATTGGGTGGTTTCGTGCCCCACTTGAGGATCATGAGGGTTTGCGCGCGACTGCAAAGGTTCTGCTTATGTAGCCTCCGCTTCCCTCCACATGTGCTGTGGTCCTCATGTCCGTTACTGGAGCATTTCTTCTATTATGATGCACTTGGGTTTTGGTGTCCTGCTTGAACATGTCTGCATGCGGGACAACCTAGTTCGCTAGTTTACCTAGGCTGCACCCCCTTCATAGGGAACAGCGACGAGGGATGGCATGCTGCCTGCATTTGCCTGAGGCCTGCTTGAGTGGATAGTCCATTCTGATTTCAACAAGGTCAAGTGGGCAACGCAAAAATTTCCAAAGACTAACCGGGAGATAAATCAGCCTGGCGGAGCAGTAATTTTTCATGGCAAACAGCTACAGGTGCTGGTCAATCCAAGTGTGTTGCCCACCTTTTTTCCGCTCGCGGCGAGATCGACAGCTGCTTTGCGCATAGCCCCCCCCTGTCCACCAGCCCTCTCTCAACCCCTCCGCGCAGACGATATCGCGCACCAGTCCACTAGCAGCAGTGGCAACCGCAAGTGGGGCAATTTTGCCAGCAATTGGGGTAGAACCTCAACGCATGGAGAGACTATGCTAACAGCCTCCAGCTGCGCAAGTCTGGCGACGGCAGACCTACATCTACGAAGGCATATATATATATATACATATCTATACATAGAAAGGAGTCATAATGGGGATTGCCGCTGTGCTTCAGGAATAGAACAGGAAACAGGATGTGACTTTGTTCTTGGCGTCACGCCCTCCAACCGCATCAGCCCACAACGACACCTCCGCGCAGACGATATCGCGTACCCCCTTTGACCAGCCCCCGCTCACCCCCAACAGCTCCCTCGCAGACAATGTCGCGCACCATGCACACCCCTCCCCCTTGTCCACCAGCCCCTGCTCACCCCCCCCGCACAGGCCAGAATGCGCAGCCATTGGCTCGACCCCCGCAGACGATATCGCGCACCCCCTTTGTCCGCCAGCCAACACCCCGCGCAAGACCTTGTCCACCAGCTCACCGCCCGCACAGGCGATACCGCCCCTTGCACACGATAGCGCCCCTCCTCGCCTCGTCCACCACCCCGCTGCGCAGACGCTTTTGCGCACCCCCAGCGCAGCCGATGTGCACCCCCCACCCCATCCACCCGTCCGCGCGGACGATGCAGCGCAGCCCCCCCACCTTGTCCATCAACCCAACCCCACCCCTTGTCCAGCAGCAGCCCCGCTCAACCTGCGTACTGCCACCCCACCCATGCTCAACGATGTCCACCGTCCGTGCGCAGCCATCCCATGAGCCCCCTTCCAAGCGTAGCCCGTCCATGCGCAGCCAGCACATGAGCCCCCGTCCGTGAGCAGACGGGCAACGAGCCCCTACAGCGGTTAGTCAAGTTTAGTCCCCATTTGGTCTTGCTGGAAACGTCGCATCTCCGTTTGTGTGCTCAATAAAAGACAACCCAACCTCAGAGCGGTTTTGGGGAAAAACGATGAGAGATGTCTTTGCTTGCATGTCTCTCGATTTCACGGTGTAGTGGTCTCGTCAGATCTGAGGTTGCAGATGACTTGTCTCGCGCTTAGTGCTGGATTGTATTTGCAGACGAGTAGGTGACTAAGATTGGCGCTAGTTGGATGCACATGCTCTGGCATACATTCCAGCAAAGGCATGAGCAAGGTAATCGTCGTGAACTTGTTTGCCAGAAGTGCCTATGCACCAGAGGCCAAAACCTCCTGACGATGATGGTTTCTTCAAGGCATTCTGTGTTAAATGCCGTCAGGGGGCTGTGTGCGTTCAGCGTCAGGTTCCCAGATCTCACAATGCTGGGCCCACCCTGACAGCACCGGTCACCTGCTCCCAATGCCTTTCTGCTCTGTCAATAGCACGGGAAATGCAAAACATCTTGTCATCTGGTGGCTCGAAGGTCGAGTCGGCCTGCGAAGAACGCAGGTAGGCTGGCAGACCCAGCAGTAGTCATCCTGCGGGCGCGAAGATCGCGTCAAATGCCGGATTTTTGACTGTAGAGTTGCACTCTGCAGTCGATAAATTTCCAGAGGCTCCGAAGACTGCATTTAGCCACTGCCTTTGAGTAGCTACAGTGCAGGAATGCTTTGCATGAGCAACCAGCATGTGAAATGCCATGTATAGGCTCAAGACCAAACACCAAGGACACTTAGCAGTGCCACAGCAACAAGGTGTCTTCAGTGAAGTGCATAGGAAAACCCTATTTTTGTCATGGTAGCTGAGCTCACCCAGGAATAGCTGTGTGCGTCACAGGAATGGCCGTGCCAGCAATTTGCTGGCGCCACCTGAAAGCGCAGGAAATATTCCAGGTCAAGACCAGGAATACACACTATATGCCGGAATTGAGCATAGCTGTTCGCACAGGAAAAGCTTACCACAGAGCTACGTGTTTCAGACAGAGCTGTTCATCCTGTGAGAGAAGTCAGGAAATTCCAAGCTTGCAAAGTATGCTTGCCAGAGGCATACACAGTGGAATCAGTCACCAAGCGGAAGCCTCGTTGTTTCTTCTGCCCAGGAATTACTGCATTTGCTGCAGGAATCTGGACTGGCATGATGTTCAGCGTCTACGGCGTGTACTGGACAGGAAATGGCTCCGCCATGCTCAATGAGATCAATAGTTTTTCCCTTCGCGGAAGTGAAAGCCTTCAAGAAGGACCCTGGAGATGATCTAGCCCTTGAAGGAAAAAGACGTTGATGCAGCCAAGGAAAAGAACAAGGTCAAGAACAAAATTTGCTCGAGACAAAGTCAAGACAAAAGGCAAACAAGAAGAAAATGAACAAGACCACACAGAATTGTTGTCCCTAAGGTTTGTGCGCAGGAAAGTTTCAGAGCCCAATATCTTTGTGAACCTAGAGGAAAACTACATCGACTACATGAATATGTGCATGATCAGGAACAAGAACATGGACCAGAGCTGGTTGAAAGAAACAGGAAAGCAACTAGTCCCACTGTTTGGCCTGATAGCAGCAACCCTGCTCAAGTTGGAGGAAAAGTTTTACTTCGTGTTCTACAAGATCAATGAGTGGAGCCTTGGGCCAGGTCATGCCCCTGAGTACTCAGTAGAAAAGTTTCACACAGTGATAAAGGAATTCATGCTGCAAAGGGCCGTAGGATGTGTCTTGTTTGGATGCACTGCGCTAGCTACTAGGAATGATTACTTGGGTCATTCTTTCTTACATGGCTCATACAAACATTTTGTTCAGAGCAAGTTCGAAGAGAAGAAAAGTTTTAAGGAAGAAGAGGAATGCTGCAGCAGCATGCAGGAAAACGCGCAAAGCATTATTGCTCATAGTATGCCTGTACAGCAACCTACAGGTTGCATCATCAATAGAACAGGCAAAACAAGCATTACTGCAGCAGTCGCAACAAACAGCAGCACAAGTCCAGGAACTAGCAAGGTCATTACAGCGCTTGACTTCATCAGGATCACAAACAGTGATTGATTTGGCAGCAGCAATGGCATCATATGCAGGAGCTTCAGCAGAAAGAGAGCAGAAGCTTATTGAAGCAATTACAGAAACACACAAGTCAACAGGAGAAGGAATTGTTAGTTCACACGCATTGTTCACACAGGAAGTGCAGAAGATTATAAGTGCACAGGAGAAGAAATCCAGAGAACCAGGAGAAGTTGAATTCCACAAGTTCATCAAAGCCCCAGATGTGTTTGCACCATCAAGTTGGCAGCAAGAAAGACAAACTGGTTTGATTTCAGGCACCGATTGAGGACATGGCTAGCAGTGGTCGACCCCAAATCACTACAGGCTTTGGACACTGTAGAGAAGGACCCTTCAAGAGATTGGGTCCGAAGGATTATTCACAAGAAAGAAAAGAAACCTGAAAGCAGCTCCACGGCATCCTGAGCAGCTATACCAAGAATCGACTGCAACGTGTTCCACAAACTATCGCCCAGGAAAATGGTTTAGAAGGATATCGACAACTTCTGGAATTTAATGCCCATGCAACCAAGGCTCGGTCTCTACAACTTCAGCGCCAGATCATGAACTTCCGCTTTGTCCAGGAAGCTAGTTACA